AGTAAGTAAGCATTTTCGTAACATAATCTATCTAGTGACGAATATTTTAGTCACTGGTTGAAGATTGTGTTCCGTATACTATAATGTATTTGATCAAAGGCCAATATTTCCTTTATTTGGGAGTTTAGTTACGGTAATGTTGGATAATCAGAGAGCCATAATTTCCTTGTTGGACGATTTGTTATGGAGATTAAATAATACGTACGTGGGAAAGTGTTAGGGTGTACAGTGAAGGTCTGGCGACGTTAAGTAAAGCGGTGGTGCTGCTGCTCCTGCCTTAGACTACCGCCGCCCCACCCAGAGTTGGTGACGTATAGTGAATACAGTAGCAGTGTGTTGGGCGGGCTGGCGTGAGGGAGGGAGGACGGCCATGTGATACTGACACCAAGGATGTTTATTTTATTTTATTGTATTACTTAAGAAATATTCATCAGTACAGGTCCAAATGCTGATGTTACTAAAGAATAAATAGTCCAATATAAACAAACTTGCCATCAGTATACAGTATTATGTTGCAGCCTCACACACACGTACAACTTAAAAAGAGTTCATATTTATGTGTTGTCTCTCAGCCTCGGCAGATCATTTAGCAAGATTTCATAAGCAAGGGAGAGTGAGTGGATTATTTGAGGTCCTGTGAGTGAGACTTGGGTTAATAGGGACAGTTATACCTTCTGGGCCTATATACGCCTAGTTAATTTATAGTAAAACAAATTATCACTTTTGATTTTCATTAATATTGAAATTTATGTTGTGTTGGTGTACTCTGTTGTGTCTCTTACCACAGTGTTGATCTCTGACTGTGTGCAGTACTGTGTTTATGGTTGTGCTACTTTTACAACTTTGACGATACTTTGTTGGGGTCTTTCATTTATGTCTCTACAAAAGTATTATTGATATTTAGACGACGTTAGTTAACTTTCTGTTATCGCGGGTCTCCAGCTGTTAGGAAGGTAAAGGAGGTGACGGCTGTGACTTGAGATAGGACTTTACCCCAGAGAGTTACCCCCCCTCAGCTAGAACCCTAAGAAGATATGTGCTGTATATCATAAGTTCCATCGCTACAGTATTATTTTGGCATTTCCACAGCTCGCCGCCACTCACCCTTTACGCTGTGGTTGTGACCCGTGACGACAACGTTTTAAAACAAGAAGTTGTAACCCGTAACGCCATAACCGAGGGAAAAAAATTATAACCCGTGACGTTGTGAGCAGTGAAGCATTAATGTGAAGATCCCTGGCCGTGGTCCCTGGGGCGCCGCCCGGCCCCTCACGGCTCTCCACTTACCAGTTTTTATCCTGACTTGAGCTGCTCCTACCTCAGTGTTTTATCTCCTGCTGTACCACGTGTCCTCAACCCTCCTCTTACCCCCATCCTCACTTTTTTCTCTCTTGCCTCATCGCCATCCTCTCGACTCCCCAACCCGTAATCCTCCACCAACAGCCCCCCCCCCCCCCACACACACACTCTGTTGCCTGTGTATGGGGGGTTCGGGGTGGAGGGGGTGTAACATAAACACAGTTGCTTGTGGCATAATGTGACAAAGTGGGTGAGGGATGAGGAAGGGTGAGGAGGTGTTGACAGACTGACCTGTGTTGCGAGGGACCAGCTTCAGACCCCGACAACAGGCACTTCCCCTCCCTCCTTCCCTCCCTCCGTCCTCCCATTTGTGTATAAGTATAGTGTATAAACATGTATTCATCACTATACACCTGGGAAGGACTATACACCACCGCCCAGGACTCGTTACGTACAGTATTGGGGGTTACCGGTATACAAGGTACAGAATGGTGATAATATTTACGTAGTTTGGTGAAAATACTCCACTGAATGTCACGTTTATCTGCTATAATTATTTTTAGTTTTTTCTACCTGTTGTTGTACCTGTGTTTTTATTTTAGGTTTTTTCTTCTGAATTATTAACATGTAATTAATGCTTGCTGGAGATATCATTCCGGGTTAATTGTGGAGAAGGGGAAGGAGGAAGAGGAAGAGGAGTGGGAAGAAGAAATAGGAGGTGGAAGAAGAAGAAGCAAACAAACATCACCATTAATAAGAAAACAAAACTGTGTGATACATAGTGTGGGAGGCACCTGTCATCTCACATAGTGTGGGAGGCACCTGTCATCTCACATAGTGTGGGAGGCACCTGTCATCTCACCTGACACTAACATAAATACCGTGACAGCCACAATCACGTTTTTCTCTCTCTCTCTCTCTCTCTCTCTCTCTCATTCAACAATAAATTCTTATACTTTTCTCACTTAACGATATTAATGATTTTAGTTTGAGTCGGAGATAAACTTCATGAGATTGTGTTTGATGTTTGTTAGTGTTTGTTTTGTGTGATGTCATACTTAACTACTTGGTTAGTTTCAATAAGGTTTTTTTTTTAGCATTTTATTCGACTTTGGGATTTTCTTTTGATTGTATTTTGCCTTGAATTCTGAGTTTATATTTTATGGGTGCTTTTTGATAGTGTGGACAGGTGTAAGAACATAAGAAAATAAGGAGTCTGCAATAGTCCGGTTGGCCTGTGCATGGCCGCTCCTGTCGAAAGTTACTACCACTCTCTATCATCCATGGATCTATCCAGCCTCCTTTTAAAACTTTCCAGCGTTCCAGCGCTTACTACAAAGTTGCTAAGCTTGTTCCACTCGTGTAGTGAGGATGGTAGTGTGTGTGGGTATATATATATATATATATATATATATATATATATATATATATATATATATATATATATATATATATATATATACTGTATGTGTGGTTAGTGAGGGCGGTCGTGGGCGTGTAACTGAGGAATGTGTGTGAGGATGGTGGGTGTAGGTGTGGCCTGGTTGACACTGAGGGGGGGAGGGGTGGGGTATGACACTGACTACCTCAATAAGTGTTACACAGTTCCACCATCTTGGCACCCCGCTACCTTGGTAAATGTCACTCTTAAATTTCTCTCTCTCCTATTTTCTTTTCCTCTTCGTCCTTCTTCTGTAACCCTCAACCCCTCCTTCTACTCTCTCCTCTTCCTCCTACCCATCCTCTTCCCTCCACCTCCTCCTCCTCTTATCCCCTCCTCCTACCCCCTTTTCCTCCTCCTACCCCCTTCTCCTCCTCCTCCTTCCACCTCCTCCTAGCCCTCCTCCTCCTCCCTCCCCTCCTCCTCCTCCCACCCCTCCACCTCCCTACCCCTCCACCTCCTCCCCCCTCCACCTCCTCCTACCTCCTCCACCCCTCCCCCTCCACCTCCTCCTCCTACCCCTCCTCCCACCTCCTCCCCTCCCTCCCCTCCCACCTCCCTCCTACCCCTCCCCCTCCTCCTACCCCTCCCCTCCTCTCCCCCCCCTCCCCTCCTCCCTACCCTCCCCCTCCTCCCTCCCCCCTCCCCTCCTCCTCCCCTCCCCCTCCCCCCTCCTCCCACCCTCCTCCCTCCCCCTCCTCCTCCCCCTCCCTCCTCCTCCTACCCCTCCCCTCCCTCCTCCCCTCCCCTCCCCTCCTCCTCCTCCCCCCCTCCTCCTCCCACCTCCTCCTCCCACCTCCCTCCTCCCACCTCCTCCTCCCACCCTCCTCCCCCCTCCTCCTCCCCCCCCCTCCCTCCTCCCCCCCCTCCTCCTCCCCCCTCTCCTCCTCCTCCCTCCTCCTCCCACCTCCTCCTCCCCCCTCCTCCTCCCTACCCCTCCCTCCTCCCCCCCCTCCTCCTCCCACCCTCCTCCTCCCACCCTCCTCCTCCCCCCCTCCTCCTCCCCTCCCCTCCTCCCACCCCTCCTCCTCCTCCCCCCCCTCCTCCTACCCCCCTCCTCCTACCCCCTCCTCCTCTTCCTATTGCCGAGAACTAGTGGCAAAGGGTGGTGAGGAGGCGGGGCGACCTGACAGCCACATGGCACCGCGTGTTTTAGTACAGTAATTTCCCCTACTTCTTCTTCACTCTGTCGATAATACCTCATCTGACACACTCTAGGCCTAACTTAAGGCATCGTCGTTCAGTAGACTATCTCCCCTAACCCCCAGATGATTTTTTGGTCAGCCGAGAGGGGACCTTGTACACAAGTGTCTAATGGCTCAGCTCAGCAGGACAGGCCTAGGTGAAGGTCATGCTTTAGGTTAAGTCGACAAGTTAAGTGTATTCTTACATCTTCAGTTACGAGGAATCTGGATCTTGGTGTGTGGTGGTGAGGCTCTCCCTCCCTCCCTGCCTCCATCCGTCCCTCCCTGCCTCCATCCGTCGTCGTAGTCACGGTGGTGGTGGTCAGTCAGCCTTCTCCCGTTACACCATACCTTCCTGCATGCCCCTCCCTTCCTCCCTCCTTCCCTCCCCAACTAAAGTGTGTTTTTTCCCACCATCCATCTTTGCACGACTACTCTCCCTCCCTCCCTATAAACGCTTCTCTCTCCTGCTCCATACACGCCTCTCTTCCCTTCCCCATACACGCCTCTCTTCCCTTCCCCATACACGCCTCTCTTCCCTTCCCCATACACGCCTCTCTTCCCTTCCCCATACACGCCTCTCTTCCCTTCCCCATACACGCTTTTTAATGTATTTCTTGGGCTATTCTTATTAAAGTAGACACACTGTTTATCATTGTATATTACCTACTCTGTCTGTGAACATGCTGAACCAATGTTAACTTGTGTGGCTTTAATAAAACTATATCTAATGAAGTGCCTGAGGAAACAAGCCGCTCAGCCATAAACAAGTTTCACGTGACTTTCGGAATCAGAGTCCAGATTCTCAAAAGTTCATACAATAAATATTCCTCATAAAGAAAGAAGTGAGAATGCAACGAACTGGTTGCCTTAAGCTAGAGCACAAAAATAAACTCGAAAAATATTATCAAAATCACTTCATTAGATATGTTCACTCAGCACCAATTAGGAGACAGTTTTAACATGGCTACAGAATTTTGTTCTCTTATCCATAGTGGTAAGTGAATGTATTTAATTAAAACAAGAGAGAGCCATGTCACTAGAGATGCTAATTACTTGTGTCTTATCTTGGTCAGGTGGAGAGGTGCGGTGCCACTGTAACCTGCCCAAGTGTGTCACCATGGGCTACATGTGCAAGAGCTTCCTGGGTGCCTGCTTCACCAAGAACACACCCACGCCCACCCACGCTTACTCACAAGCTCGCAAGATCTACCATCGGTGGGCACCCATGCACGGATGTGTCGAATTATTACCAGAGTGAGTCTCGTTATGCGTTTTTGTCCTCTTCAGTTCGTCTTTGTCAAGTTCAGGTGTCAAAAAATTAAGACCATAACTGTCAGCATCAGATTGATCAGTATATGCTTAGAACACCAAATAGCCCTAATTTCATTTAACCTTTTTTTTGTTTTATTAAATTTATTTAGTTCTTTTATGAAGTTTTTTCCTGATGCAAAATAAGTTTTCCTCAGATTTACCCTCCCCTGGACATGTCTTGTTAACACCTTCATTATTCACGCATCACGCTTATTATCCTGACCTCATTTCCTGTCACTGTTTCAGGTCTAGTATAATTGTCTGTTAGTAGATGAGATCACTTTTGTTTTGTTTTTAAATTTTCCTGCTTTTCCAACTCATTTCAAAGCTATTGTTGATATTGCTCTGTTTGTGTGGGCATACAGCTGGGAAAATTTGAACCCTACAAATGGAATACCAATGAGCTCGAAGTAGCTGGTAGATTTGTTATTTTGGTAACACTTTGTAAGGGGGGAGAGGGATAGGAGGTGGATGGTTAGGGGTGGTGGTAGTCACCAGGTGATGGACTCTACGAGGTGGTTTGCAAATTCACTGGTCTCACACTGATGGGGTTCACATTTGTGGGAGAGTGTAGCACTCGCATCAACTTTCCCCAGCTATACCCGCATGTGTGTACCCATGTTTACAGGCGTGTATGGGTTCATTGTGCATGCAACTTATCACCATAATACTTATGGTCTCTCGGCTACATATTTCACATTCTTAATACTCTGACAACTTTCAAATATAGTATACTGTATAAAACTTGTTGTGGTGCCAGGAGTCGACATGCGGAGTGCGTGATGAAGGGCGGAGTGCAGAGAGCGGAGGTCCCAGGGACCCCTGCGCCCCTAACCCCGCCCCAGCTGGACCCAGACCTCACCTGCTGCAGCCAGGACATGTGCAACTACCGTGATATTGATGTCTTTATCCAGGTGGACGGCAATTACGACAGCCAGACAGGTGAGGAGGGGGGGGGGCAGTAGACAGACGGGAGACACTGTGTCTCGCCAGTGGGAGGGAGTGTAGTTGGAGAAGGGTGCAGAGTTGACAAGGGTGCTTTTCCTTAGTGTTAATGATTTAGTGATGGCGATGATAGACGACTGTGTTGGCATTGATTATACATTAGTTCTCTTCTTTCTCTCACACACACTCAATGATGCCAAGTATATGTACTGTACCAAGTGAAGCCCCACGCAAGAGAAGACACATGCAAAGAGGTATATTGGCACATACAAAATGTTGCTATACACCTCTCTACAGACCAACCTGTCCCCCCCCCCTCCCCCTCACAAACTAAAATCACATACATCTCAGATACAAATACAAAACATACCAGTATGCACTTACATACATGTTCAAACAAATGAACACAACTACCTGTACAGTAAGAAGATGTTAGAATTAAACATATGATACTGTACAGTACTGTACAGTAGTTAAAACAACAATCTGAGCAGGTGGGGGTCGATATGTTCAGAAATTGTACTTGTGACTAGTGACAGCCCTCGTATACCAAAATTTATCGTCCATGGTCTCGTATTGTTTCCCACAAAGTATGCACAGGTAGTTGGTTTAGCTATTGTACGTATAAAAGAAATGTGCATATGTAGAAATTTAAGAAACATATGTGCCTTAGTGATATATTGTATACACACACATGCACAAGAATAACTACACTGACTTTTGTATCCATAATTTTTTGAAAAGCAAACTATATCTTTCATTGTTTGTTATTTAAGGTTATACATTTCTAGAAAACCCATTTGTGTTTTTCACTTTAGGAAGGTCACAAAATTGTCTCGAGAGAATTTATCTTTAACGTATTTTAAACACATTCACAACATGTCCTTTTTCCTTCATACTATAAAGGAAACTGTAAATAGTTTTAGTTTTATCCTCTTCGCCACTGATCGGCTTGTTAGCCACTTGAGCGATCGGTCACGTCTCTTTTCATTTATCTTCTTCACCAAAAGATCGGCTCGCTAGCCGCCCGGGCGATCGGTCACGTCTGTCACGCGCTGTTGGCAAATACTGGGCATACACCAGCTCCTGAATGTACCTGAACCCGCTCCAGTGTTGGTCAAGTCTTGTCTTGAAAGAGCTCACACTCGGTGGCGTCACAACACTCTCTGGTAGATTGTTCCAGCGTTTACAACCCTCACTCCGAAAAAGTTTGCCCTCACGGTTTTCTGGACTTGCGGCTTCTTCAATCTTGAGCTGTGACCCTTTGTGGGGCGAGCGTCTGCCAGCTCCAAGTAGGACACTCGACTGAGTAGTGCCCCCTGAGATGCTTATACACCTCAACTAGGTTCCCCCTTGCCCGTCTGTAGTATAAGCTAGGCAAGTTCAGGCGCTCCAATCTTTCAGGGTAGCTGAGGTGCCGAAGTGCAGGCACCAGTCTGGTGGCCCTCCTTTGAACATTTTCAACCAACTGACAGTCCCTAGCATATCTCGGGGACCAGATGGGGTGACAGTACTCAAGATGGGGAAGCACTTCACTCCTGAAGATCGTTACGAGGGAATGACCGTCTAGATATCTGAACGACCTTCTTATAAGACCCAATAATTTATTTGCCTGATTTACCTTCTTCTCACAATGGCCCGAGAACTTCAGCTCATTGTCAACATACACACCTAAGTCCTTCTCACACACAGTCTCAACTAGTGCAGTTTCTTCATCCCGTTGGGACATATGATACGCCTCCTTACCGTTGGTACGCCCCAGGTGCATCCTCTTACACTTTATGACATTGAATCTCAGCAGCCATTTCTTCGACCATTCCTGGAGCCCACAGAGGTCCTTCTGCAGCTCTTCACAGTTCGCTTGGTTCTTAATTTCCCAAAATAACTTGGCGTCATCGGCAAACATTTGTATGGAGGAGTGTACAACGTCAGGCATGTCATTTATGAAACAAACAAACAACAGCGGGCCCAATACACTGCCCTGTGGTACCCCACTTGTGACAGGTACAGATGACGATTTCGTGCCATTAATCACCACACACTGCTTGCGGTCATGTAGAAAGTTTTCTATCCACGCTAGGACATTTCCCCGAATTCCGTACCCTTCCAGTTTGATTTTCAGCCTTTCATGGGATACACTGTCGAAAGCCTTGGCAAAATCTAGGTAAACATTGTCGATATTACCACCCCGTTCCAGAATATGGGTCCAAATATCCAATACCTTGAGCAATTGTGTTAAGCAAGAGCGCCCCAGCATAAAACCGTGTTGGCAATCTTTTACAAGGTTGTTTCATATTAGATGTTCCATTGCGGCATCTCTGACAATACTCTCAAGTACTTTACATATTATGCTGGTCAGGCTTACCGGTCTATAGTTGTTCGTGGAGTGACGAACGCCCTTCTTGAAGATAGGACTCACATAAGCCACTTTCCATTCACTGGGGACCATTTGTTCATCCAGGCATTTACAAAACAGGATCTTCAGGGGCTCTGCAAGCTCGTTGCACAACTCTCTTAGCACTCTAGGATGCACCATGTCAGGTCCGGGACTCTTATGGACCTTTAGCCTGGACAGTTTATTTCTAATACCCTCTTCTGTGAACACAATGTGGGTCAGTGCTGTGTTGAACCGTCTGTCCTCAAACGCAGGAAGGTTAGTTGCATCGTCTCTTGTGAACACTGAAGAAAAGAAGCTGTTCAATGCCTCAGCTTTATCCTGGTCAGAATCTGCATAACTACCATCCACCTGCCTCAGGTCTGATACTCCTACTCGCGTTTTCAATTTCGACTTTGCATAGTTGTAAAACGCCTTTGGGTTTGACTTGACCTCGCTTGTAACCAGCCTCTGGAACTCCTTTTCAGCCCTCCTCACTCTCTCTTTGCTTGGTTTCTGACTCTTGCATACATCCTCCTGTCTTGCTCATCGTTTGACCCAACCCACGTCTTGAATTTCTGGGTTTTCTTCTTAATTTTGTCGACCACCGCATGGTTCATGTGTAGGGATCCCCTCGTATTCCTAGAAGCACTGGGTATGGTCTTGGGTATATATTTATCGATCAAATGGGTCATTTTACTAGTTATGATATTCAGCGTAGTGTCTGCGTTCTTGTACCTTAATAAGTCAGGCCAATTGATACCCCTCATCTCTTCCCTCATCCCATTGTAATTTCCCTTGTAATATTTGCACCTTGGCCTGGCCATATCTTGAACTAGGTAACAGTTAAATCTGAATGACAACACTGTATGGTGACTGGTGCCAACTGGGACAAGGTGTTCCAGTTTGGCCACCATACCCTCCTCGTTTATTATGATGAGGTCAAGTGGCTTGGGTGTTTGCTCTCCTCTGTAATGTGTTGGGTCTCTTAATATGTTGGAACAGAAAATTATCTCTCAGAGTTTCTACGAAAAGAGTAGCAGGGTTATTCAAGTCATTCGGGGTGGACTCGTTTCTCCAGTCGATGTCGCCATAGTTAAAGTCTTCCATGATAAGGAGGTGGCTAGGGTTGAGCATCGCCGCGTTGTTTATTAAGGTTCTTAAGTTCCTTTGATTTAGTGGGCCACAGTTTGGGGATCTGTAGATACACCCGACGATAAGTAAGTCCCCTCCCTTTAATTTAATTTTACACCACTTGGACTCTTCAAAAACATCCTCTCCCTGTACCCTCGCCTGGCTGGCTCTAAGGTCTTGCCTATCGTAGATAACCACACCCCTCCTGCAAGTTTCTTGAGATAGGTTCGTAATTGAGTCATATCCAGCAATACTGAACTCTCATTCCTCTGGGTCGATTCTCCTGTTCTTGTACAACAGTTCTACAACACCTACAATATCTGGTTGGTGTACTCTTAGTAGTGTTTCAAACTCCTCTCTCTTGTCAAGGAACGTGTCAGTATTAGTGTACATGACATTCAAGCCAGAATTTGTTCTCGGTAACGTCTCTGCTCTTAGTAATAAACCCGCTCCCCCCACATTCTCAGAAGCTGCAGCATTTGCTAAGTACACTGTATTTTGCAGGGTGTGGTTAGAAATGTCATTATTTACACGGCGCTCGCCCCCTCCTGTCCGGTAGGCTGAGCTGGTGCCGCCTCCCGGGTGGGGGGTTGAGCGGGTGGAGGGTGCACTGTTGCCCCCTGGCCCTGTGTCGGCACACTTGTTTCCACTACCCTCCCCCTGAGTATAACCCATGTACACCTGTCCCCGTTCCTCCTCGACTCCTCCCTCTTCTGCTTCAAGTCCTGCAGGAGCTTCTTTTGCTGTTCCCTCTGCATTACCGTGCGGTCTGGGTGAATGAATACATCCCGAAATGCCTCGCTCCTTGCTAAGTTTTTTGCCTGCCGAATAACCTGCCATTTCTTCTCCTCACTCACTAGTGGTGTCTCTTAATTAGATTATGCCATAAACTTGCATTCAGTTACAGCTCCCAAGACACTGTTCATGTTTTTGGCTTCTAATTTACATTTCCACTTGTCAGATATGAAAAGACGGGACTCCGAGATGATGGAGACTCTGTGGTTCCGAGCAGCAACAATAGCCGTCCCCATAGCAGGCGGCTTTATCCTAATTGTCTTGGTCCTCCTTGCTAGTAGGATGTTAGCCAAAGAAAATAAAAGGCAAAGAATGGCTCAGGTTAGTTGCAAGACAAAACTGCTACAATGTGACAGTTGCAGATGATATTGTTGTAGAATATGTTGTCATGTTTTTGTAACCAACTTGAATTCACTTCCTTTTTTTAATATTATCATTATCTTCACAAGTGAAGTTTTTCTTTGTAATATACATACCTGGCACATAGCAGAGTTTCATATATGTATTATTTACTCTTTTGCCAGGTTATTGGAGAACGCTATCTGAAGGCTCCCTTATATCCTGGGGGTACATCAGAGCCCATTCCTCACCATCCAATATATTACCATACACCCATCACCAAGAACTCCTCCTTGGCCCACTTGAACTTTAGAGCTTCATATGAGGAGAAGCCATCGAATTATAGACCTCCAGAAACGCATATTTGTAATTTAGAAGAGATAAAACCATTAAATACTGTTGTGAACCAAGATGAACAGTGGGATCAGAGGGACACTGAATCTCCACTCCCTTCATGAGGACTGTAAATTTGTGGAGTTTGTCTGTGTGTGTGTGTGTGTGTGTGTGCGTGTGTGTGTGCGTGCGTGTATGCATGCCTGCTCCTTGCACCCACCAAAGACTTGATTTGGCTGCAAGTATTGTATGTGAATATTAAGGTGAATACTTCATAGTATTGTAATGGATAATTATACTTATGAAAGAATCCACATTAAACTTTTGAAAAAGTACAGGTGATAGCACAACAGATTTTGCACTAATGGATTTAGTTCTTAACTTATGCACATCATATATTCACACAAATTTTTCATCAGTGATATTTTTGATGGCGGGTGCCACATGTTCAGAGTGTGCAGTGCTATATTTCAATCTGGAATTTTCAGTCTGTTTTCATACTTACCATAAATATTTTTGGAGTGCTACATCAACAGGAAATGCAAGTTACTGTTGAAAATGTGGACATTGTCACATACTTGAAATCAGTTTTATGTGTATGCATATTTATATACATATCAGCTGAAAACTTTCCTCAGAATTTTATATAAAAGACAAGTGACTTTTTTATAAATTAGGTTCATGAGTGCTAAGGAAAGAAATAAACATCATTCTGTGATTTGTTGCTCAAAGGTTATAAAACAAAGAGGACAATATTTTGGGACTTGAGATGCTAGTAGAGAGCCAAGTAGCAGTTGGCTGATTGTATTTCACGCAGTAAAACTCAACAAACAGTCAACAGTAATATCTGGGTGGTGTTTACCTTTACGTCCCAGAGGTTTTCATATTATTTTTAATACTTGCTATGATTTCCAGTTTGTTAAAGCAAGATTAATTTGATTAAGTCGAGTCATTTGTGTATATATTCTACTTTCGTATCCTTGGTGCTCTCTTATGAACTGTTATATTTAGTCATTTATAATCAAAGTATAACCATATGAGGCCAGAGTGTCAGTGCAATAACTGGATGTGTAGTGATAAACCAAGAAAAATGTTTAAAGGGTAAACTATGTTCATAATGAGATTCATGAAATGTTGGGTATTATTGCCAGACATTGCTCATCATCTGTTTTTGTTGTACAAGTGTATAAAACCTATATAACCACTGCACTCTAATGTATTGTGAAGGATTGTGGACTGTACAAAAATTTACATAATCCCAATGTATAATATGCTATTTGCTGTGTTAAGCAGTATTATTTTTTCTCCTAGATGGGGTCATTAATTGCCAGAAATTAAGTTATTCACTGTAAGAAATTAAGCAAAATTATAATGGTTTCAGCGGGTCTCCAATGTATAAGGTCAATTATCTGTAAAGATTAGATAACAAAGTAGAAAGGAACTTATTTTCTGGTTATTACTTGTATATACTGTATAGGCATATAAGTCACATCTAGGAATACCCACAAATTACCTGGAATCATAGTCTGTGATATCTTTTATTTGCTTTTTCCCATTATCTTTTATGGTGTTCAAATGGTGCTTTGGATGAGAAAAAAGCTTTGATGTCTCCATGCCTTCCAGAAAAGCTCAGGATTTCTGTTAACATCTTCCAAAATGATTTTATCATTTATTTAACTCCACTTTTTTTTGGCTGTAATTAGAAGACTTTGTTAATTAAAATGGCATGTAGTTATGTGGTTATCCATAACACAAACTTGCCTTTCAGTAATTGTGTGCAAAATTAATGCTTTTTTTCATAGCACAAAATTTATATTAAAGGTGAGATATGGTGTGCTTAATAGCTTTGTCAGGTTTATAGGTTGTTTGAACTCCTTATAGATATACTATTCCTTCCTCCCTGGCAAGGCATCAGACAGTTATGCATTGTGATGTTTGGGACATAGGTAGTTCATTATTTGTTTAATTTTTTCTTTTGTGAACCATTGTAAGTGATACTGTCATACTCCATCACAAGCTACCGCTTGCTTTCAAGGGTGACACATATACACTAGTTCCTATTTCCTGCATTCCTAAAGTTTTGCACCAGACTAATGAGACAAATGAATATTCTCAGATCTTAGTTGTTGTCCCTTGATATCTTAAAATTAATCCTAGGACACTGGTGCTTCTCCAAGGCTCGCTTTTCTGTTAAGAAATACAGTAAAATATAGGATTGGTTCATTTCCACTGTTAAGCAGAAAAGAGCAATATGGAAGCACAGAGCATTTCTATGAATTTGTCTTAGTTTTTTATGAACAATCATTAAGGAAATACAGTATGTGTTATTTAACTCTCTGTATTTCAGACATGTAAAGAAAGTGAGGTAACGAAATAGTTTGCCACAGTGGCCAGTATACATTTTAAGTGCTCATGAGGGAACAAAATCAACGACTAACAACTTTGTAACAATACTGAGTAAGTTTGCCAGTTCTCTGGTATTGAATGTGGGAGGATGTTAGATGGAGGGTCAAACAACTTTCTATTCCACTTATTATTAAATATCATGATGCTAAAATACCTTACTTTCCTCACAAGTCAATGTATGTATTACATATTAATTAAGGTTAAGCTGTATGAGTCTGGTATGTATTTGATAATATTATTAGATTTTTTGGAGAAATTTTATAGGGAGGACAATCATGCCTATTGATATGAATGTGTTGTTTTGTAAAGGAAATCAAGTATTTATTACAGTTTGCATTTTATTTCACCATCCATATTTATAAATAACTTGTTTAGTGGCTTTAATATTTTATTCAAGAATATCCAAAGAAGATGACATCTATACTGTAGTATACTGTTTTATGAGAACCTAAAAAAAAAAATGCAATAAACACTTAAAAGAAAGAAATTGCCATAATTTACCAATGTGGCAGTGCACCTTATTTGAACAATCGGATATGAATTGTAATGGCTGCAAAGCAAGCCAAAGTGGATGAAGCTTACTGATATGTAAATTATAATAAAGGTTAAAAGAAAAACCTGTACCTAATTATAGATTAATATACAGTAATTGTAGAGTGAAATGACAATACATACAATACTGTTATTCTAACACTGTACACTATCTCCCTCTACCTAGTACTATGCTCATCTCTAGAAACTTTGCACATATGGAGATGAGACCACCTGCTCTGTATGGCTGTTACGTACTTCCTCAATATGCAAGAAGATTATGTATTTTGTCTCGGTGTGTGGTGTGTGTCCAGAACAACCTAAGCCTGTGACATCTGGTTATGCCAGTCTTCTCTCAATATCAGGCACACTTCTTTCTGATATGATCCTTGAATAATATTGAGAGTCAGTCATACCCTCACATACTGTATTACATCTTACTGTTGATGAAGTTTTCAGCTTTACTTTAACCTCTTCACCACTAATCATCTCGTTAGCCGCTTGGGCAGTCTACACGTCTCAGTTACACGCTGTTGGTAAGTGCTGGGCATGTACCTGTGTTGGTCAAGTTTGATCTTGAATGAGCTTATATTCAGTGCTGTCACAATGCTGTCTGGCAAATTATTCCAAGAGTTCACAACCCTCACTCCAAAAAAGTTTGCCCTGACAGTTTTCTGAACCTGTGGCTTCTTCAACCTTAAGCTGTGATCCCTAGTGAGGCAGGCATTTGCCAGCTCCAGGTATGAACACTGGGTTGAATAATGTCATCTGAGGTGTTTACAAACTCCTATTAAGTCACCCCTTGTCCAGCATAATATGTAAAGTACTTGAGAGTATTATCAGAGATGCCACAATGGAACATCTAATACGAAACAACCTTGTAAAAGATTGCCAACACGGTTTTATGCCGGGGCACTCCTGCTTAACACAATTGCTCAAGGTATTGGATATCTGGACCCATATTCTGGAACGGGGTGGTAATATCGACAATATTTAACTAGATTTTGCCAAGGCTTTCGATAGTGTAACCCACGAAAGGCTGAAAATCAAACTGGAAGGGTACGGATTTCGGGGAAATGTCCAAGCGTGGATAGAAGACTTTCTACATGACCGCAAGCAGTGTGTGGTGATTAATGGCATGAAACCGTCATCTGTACCTGTCACAAGTGGGGTACCACAGGGCAGTGTATTGGGCCCGCTGTTGTTTGTTTGCTACATAAATGACAAGCTTGACGTTGTACACTCCTCCCATACAAATGTTTGCCGATGACGCTAAGTTATTTCGGGAAATTAAGAACCAAGCGGACTGTGAAGAACTGCAGAAGGACCTCTGTGGGCTCCAGGAATGGTCGAAGAAATGGCTGCTGAGATTCAATGTCACAAAGTGTAAGAGGATGCACCTGGGGCGTACCAACGGTAAGGAGGCGTATCATATGTCCCAACGGGATGAAGAAACTGCACTAGTTCAGACTGTGTGTGAGAAAGACCTAGGTGTGTACGTTGACAATGAGCTGAAGTTCTCTAGCCATTGCGAGAAGAGGGTAAATCAGGCAAATAAATTATTGGGTCTTATAAGAAGGTCGTTGTTCAGATATCTAGACGGTCCGTCCCTCGTAACGATCTTCAGGAGTGAAGTGCTTCCCCATCTGGTCCCTGAGATATGCTAGGGACTGTCAGTTGGTTGAAAATGTTCAAAGGAGGGCCACCAGACTGGTGCCTGCACTTCGGCACCTCAGCTACCCTGAAAGATTGGAGCGCCTGAACTTGCCTAGCTTATACTACAGACGGGCAAGGGGGGACCTAGTTAAGGTGTATAAGCATCTCAGGGGGCACTACTCAGTTGAGTGTCCTTACTTGGAGCTGGCTGACGCTCGCCCCACAAGGGGTCACAGCTCAAGATTGAAGAAGCCACAAGTCTAGAAAACCGTGAGGGCAAACTTTTTCGGATTGAGGGTTGTAAACAATTGGAACAATCTACCAGAGAGTGTTGTGACAGCACTGAGTGTGAGCTCTTTCAAGACAAGACTTGACCAACACTGGAGCGGGTTCAGGTACACTCGGAAACCATAATCTCTAGCCCACCCGGGTCAGTACTGGAGGTTAGAACAGTGTCCTTTCTGGACGGGGGCCCACTCTAACTATCACAAGGCAACACACGCACGAACACACACAGTCATAGTACGGCTGTATAGATGACATTATGTATAAATTTTGTATATGGCATTTTATACTCTGCATTATCTTCATTATATATGAACACAAAGAAAATACCATAGGTTGTAGTTGCGAAACTATGAATGGAAATAAACACTTCCAAAACACCCAGTTACTCCACACAACGTGTGTGTGTGTGTGCCAGACCACGATGCTTCCCATCATAAGCATAACTATATGAAAAATCGTATTTAATTTAACTACATATTTCAAAAACCTTAAATTACATGTGGATCAGTCACTCCTCATTTGACACACTTATATTGTAATATTTTGACCATCCCACCTGGGCACATGGAGGCCCACGGTAACTCTCACGGGGCAACATACGCACGAACACACAAGTTATGATATGAACCCTTCCAGGCTTCACTATCATTATCATGTTATGTCCATCGTGCTCTGTATCTTGGCAACTAGTCATAGTATCAATACATGACAGTGTTATTAGTATATTGTTGTAACTTTTACCCTACAGTTATTGTTGTAAATCATGGACAGGAAGGATACATTAATTGTAATATCAAAAGTATGATTCGCTCAAAGCCACCCCAAGTCAGAAAACGCGTCACACAAAATTACACTGTGTGTGTGTGTGTGTGTTCTGTAACATTAAGCTTCATCTTTAGTAGGTAAGATGTTTCATAAAGAGGTTTCTCCCATTCGTCATTGTGAGCATCGTCCCAGAGCACTTTGTTTCCATCAAAACCATGGTTCATCCTTATTTCCCTTCCGTGTAACTATATCCATATGGCTTAGTGCTTGCTTTTCATTTCTTTATTTAAACAAATAATGTGGATCAGTTACTCGTTATTTAACACATACATGCACTTAGAGCATCAAGATTGTTTTGTAGGCATGACTATTGGTTAATTGAAACCCCAAAAATATTTTTCACATTATTATGCATAAACATTGTAAATATATCTATGTGATTATTGTAGTATATAACATATATTTAATGTCTGGACAGATTCCCAAGAGTTATGCATATTAATGCATAGATTTTGTAAGCATATTTATGCGAAGTGACGTAAAACCACATAGAAAAATACCTGGACAAATTCCGGGGAGTTAGGAAACGAAGTCTTTGTGGCCCCAACGAGGTTACACCAGAGAGCTAACTTCCCCGCCACCCCCTACAAGGCACTGTCGTGGGCGGAGATTTAATTCTTGACCACAGGTTAATACCGTGTCCAACCTCCATCTGCTGCTATAACTTCATGCAATCTGGTGGGCATGGAATCTACCAGATTGCTGCAGATGTTCGGCCTCCAATTTATTCCCTCCCACACATTATGTGCATGTCTCCTCACTGCCTCACTCGTTTTCTCCTCAACATCCCATTCAAGAACCATATGCGCCCATAGATTTTCTATTGGATTACAATCGGCTCCTTTAGGGGGCCAGTCCAATAGAATAATCTGCGGGTGCGCCTCAAACCAACGCTTGACTGCCTGACTTGTATGTATTGGACTGCGGTCTTGCACCATACATATAGGCTGTGGGTCTGGGATGGCATATGAGTTGATGGGAGGACGGTTAGCAGTCCTGTTGAACTGGCAGGCAGACAAAAAAGAAAACTCACAGCCAAACTGTAAGAAAACCCATGGATAATGAGACATTAGTAAAATATACTAGGTCATTTTAGCGCGTGCACACACATTATATCCAGACCTATTGGTCCTTGCGAAGCTGTTTGGTTATGCTATGCTAACTAGTTTGCTAGGGTGAGGGAAGTATATATATATATATATTTAACTCTTCTCAACAAATGCAAGGATGTTGCCCCGTGAGAGTTGCCGTGGGCCTCCATGTGCCCAGGTGGGATGGTCAAAGTATTACACTATAAGTGTGTCAAATGAGGAGTGACTGATCCACATGTAATTTAAGGTTTTTGAAATATGTAGTTAAATTAAACACGATTTTTCATATAGTTACACGAATGATGGGAAATAAAAGATATAGATGGGGTGTGGTGAAATCATCGTGGTCTGGCCACAAGCGCTGTAAACGACATGTTGATTCACTGGGTGGTTTGGAAGTGTTTATTTCCATTCATACTTTCGTAGCTACAACCTATGGTAATTTTTTCTTTGTGTTCATATATAATGAAGATAATGCAGAGTGTAAAATGCCATATACAATATTTATACATAATATCATCTATACAGCCATACTATGACTGTGTGTGTTCGTGCGTGTGTTGCCTCGTGATAGTTAGAGTGGGCCCCCGTCCAGAAAGGACACTGTACTAACCTCCAGCACATACCCAGGTGGGCTAGAGAATATGGTTTCCGAGTGTACATTCAGGAACCGGTGCATGCCCAGTATTTAGCAACAGTGCGTGACAGAGACGTGACCGATCGCCCGGGCGGCTAGCGAGCCGATCATTTGGTGAAGAAGATAAATGAAAAGGAAAAGTAATCAGAGAAGTGACCTATCGCCCAAGCGGCTAACAAGCCGATCAGTGGCGAAGAGGATGAAAGTAAAAGTAATTGCAGGCAATTTATTCCCCCTGGGTACTTGAGGTGCAGTAGTGCAGACACCACTCTGGGGACCCTCCTTTGGACGTTTTCAATTA